GACAGACTTAGTTAAAATATTCGTAGACGGGGGAGCCAGCCACAGCCTCATCAACACTGCCACGGCACGGAAGCTGAAACTGCCACTGGGCAGATGCTTACCTGAGATCGATGCAAGACTGGTTGACGGCACGCCGCTGGCGATACGGGAACACGTAGACCGGGCTCGGATTCGATGCGGGTGTAACTCCACGTTTAGCCAAGAAATGCTCGCGACAACTCTCGATGGAACCGACATTTTGCTTGGTCGTGATTGGTTGCGACGGCACAATCCGCGAATCGACTGGACGATGGGTGACTACACCGTGCGGGTGAACAGTAACAACATCGCCTTACCTCGCTGGGGCTCGCCTGAGTCTTCGTCGGTGCGTGTCAACGCGATCACGATGAAACGCGCCGTAGCGGCAGGAGCTGACGTGTATGCGGTTGACATTCGGGAAGCCGAAGCAGCAGACCAGGGGGGGGGGGGGTTACATAAACTGCTTGCCGACGTACCGGATGACTTGGCAGCACCCCTGAAGCAGTACAGTGGGATATTTCCGGCGACCTGCCGACGGGACTGCCACCTCAGCGACCGCACGACCACAGGATAGAATTAGAACCGGAGCACAGGAAAAAGTACCGCGACAGTTCCGACTGACCCAACCCGAACTGGACGAACTAAGGAAGCAGCTAGATCACCTGCTCGAGAAGGAGTTCATTCGCCCTAGTTCGTCTCCCTTCGCAGCACCGATACTGTTCACACCGAAGAAGGACGGGGGGTTTCGCATGTGCATAGACTACAGAGCACTAAACAGGGTTAACATAAAGTCACGTTACCCCATCCCGCGAGCCGACGAACTGATCGACCAACTGCGCACAGCCCGGGTTTTATCGAATATTGACCTTAGAGGGTGTTACCACCAGATTCGCGTCGATCCGCCCGACTGCTCTAAGACAGCTTTTCGCACACGCTACGGATCCTTCGAATACGCCGTCATGCCATTGGGACTGACCAACGCCCCCGCCACTTTTCAAATGACGATGAATGAGGCGTTTCGCCTGCTTTTAGATAAGTGCGTCATCGTCTGCTTAGACAACATACTGAATTACAACCTCGACAGAGCACAACACTTAGGACATCGAAGCAGTTTTTAAAATACTGAGTGAGAACCGCCTACTGACGAAAGCGTATGAGTGTGAGTTTCTACAGGACAGACTGGAGTTTTCGGGACACATCATTTCAGCTGACGGAGTGGAAATAGACCCGAAGAAGATCGCGACGATTCAGGCTTGGCACATGCCAACAAATCTAACTGAGCTGAAGAATTTTTTAGGGTTCGTCAACTACGTGCGTCGATTCGTCCCCGACATGGCGAAGCCTACCGCCCCGCTGACCGACCTGCAGAGGAAAGGGGTTGAGTACACGTGGGGGGAGAAAGAGCAAGCTGCCTTCTCGGCCCTCAAGAAAATTTTGTGCTCGCCGCCCGTGCTTCACATCGCAGATCCGCACTGACCGTTCGAGCTCGTCACTGACGCAAGTGACATCGCCGTCTGAGCAATACTGTTGCAGGATCTTGGGAACGAGCTCCAGCCAATCGCGTACGAGACCTGCAAGCTGCACCCGCCCGAGCGCAACTACCCGATACACGACCGCGAGATGCTGGCGATCGTGCACACGTTCAAAGTTTGGCTGTGTTACCTGACTAGCGCCGACGTGACAGTAAGGACAGACCACCGATCCCTACAGTACCTTCGCGCCGAATCGAACCTCAATCCGCGACAGATCCGCTGGTTGGACTACCTCGAGTCCAACTTCCACTACACAGTAACGTACAAAAAAGGTGCATCCAACATCGCCGACGCACTCACCCGCCCTACCGCCCAACTCCATGCCATCCTAATTGCCCAAACCAACCCGCTTTTAACAGGCCTATTCACCCACGGATACCGCACAGACCCATTTTTCACGACCGGAGATTCAAAGCAATTGGCAAAAGCTAAAGGAGTCTATTACGTAAAAACAGGCACCAGCCGCATCTGGGTACCCGCATACTCACTACTAAGGGAGCTGTTACTGCAGGAGGCGCACGCCGGGATTATTTCGGGACATTTTGGGGTAGAAAAACGGGACAGCAACTGCAGCGATATTACGACTGGCCGGAGCTGTTGACCGACGTGCAGCAGCACGTGGGCTCGTGCCCCACGTGTCAGGTGATGAAGAGCTCGAGGAAGCGAATGGCGGGTCAGCTGCAGCCGATCCCACCGCTCGAGCGTGCCTGACAACAGGTTACCATGGATTTTGTCACGGGGTTACCATCGAACCCTGGTGGTTAACGACGCGGTAATGGTCGTCGTTGACAGGTTGACGAAGATGGCACACTTCGCTGCGTGCAAGAAGTCGATCTCAGCCGAAGAAACCGCTCGCCTGTTCATCGCAGCCGTTGTTCGCCTGCACGGGATACCAGCAACGATTATCAGCGACGGGGACACGAAATTCACAAGCAACTTCAGGAGGAACCTTTGGGAGCAGTTCGGGACCAGGCTACAGTTCAGCTCGTCGTACCACCCCGAGACCGACGGTCAAACGGAGCGGACGAATCAGACGATGGAGCAGTTGATTCGTGCCACGTGCGACGATCCAGCGACTTGGGAGCAGCAGCTGCCGCTGATCGAGTTCGCGTACAACAACGCCACGTCAGCGACGACGCAGCAGTCCCCGTTCTACCTGAACTACGGGCAAAATCCAACAGTGCCCATGACGCCGAGTCTGGACAACCCCACGTCACGTCCACACAACAATTCGCCGAAATTCTGCATGCTGCCCGAACCAGAGCCGCAGAACCAATTAAAAAAGCTAATGTCATCGCTAAGCGCAACGCTGACCGCCACCGCCGCCCAGTCACGTACCAGTCAGGAGATTACACACTGCTCGACACACAAAATCCGCGACTGCCCGACGTACCCAAACTCCGACCCCGCTACTGTGGCCCATTCCAAATCAGCCACATGATCACACCGGTAACCGCCCATCTACTGTTGCCGACCGACTGGTACATCAGCCCATCATTCCACGTCAGCCTGCTTCGCCCATACGTCCCCACCACAAGCCAACTGCCTCGTCACCGCCCGCCATCCATGACTCGCCCAGCATCAGAGCCGATCATCGAGCCCGAAAAGATTCTGAGCCATCGGATTCGCCACCCCACAGGCATCAAGAGGATTGAATTCCTCGTGCGTTGGAAGGACCGCACGCCAACTGAGGATAGCTGGGTGCCCCTGGCCAACATCGAAAACCACCCTGCCCTGCAAGTCTACCTGAGGAGCCGGGGATTCCCCGATATACACGCACTAGCGTAGTGCAGGGGGCTTCTTGAGGGGGGGGGGGGGGAGTAGTGTAAGGAATTTTCTCGACATTCCTTACGGAGTCCTGCTACATCGCGTACAGCAACAGCCGTTGTTCGCCCGTTACTGCTAACGGGGCTTCGCCAACTTCGCGCGCACTGTTTTGCCAAACCACGCACTGCTGGCCCGGCTGTGTCGGCCTACGCTTCGTGACTAGCCCAAACCTCACTGCCAGCGTAGCACTAGCTAGCTCGCACGCACCGCGTTACCGTTTGCATGTTTCGCGTATAAATGTTCGCTCATGCCTTCGCTCACATTTTGTACTCGTTTGACACTTAGTGCAATCCTCGCTATCTCGATCCATTGCACCCGTAACATCTCTCCCTATGCTACCTCGGTAGTGCAGGAATCAGGATTTGTCAAGACTTCGGTGACCGCCTTGAATTATAAAAGCTCATCGCCCTTCTAAGGGTACATTCCGCTCTGGACACTGTCCCAATCGAAAGTGTCTGAATCGATTCTACCGCACTGCATCGTATTACACCGAATTACACCCTAGTTTCAAACATTGTCGAAATTTTCGCGTCTCTGGTTTAGTTCGGTTTGGAGCAGTACACTCCATTTGGACACTTCGATTGGGACAGTGTCCAGAGCGGAATGTACCCTAAATGCAACAGTTTTTTGATTGTATAACTGACAGCATGTGTTTCCCTTCCCAACCTTAGGACGCGGCACATGTTTTGACTTTGTCAGGATTGAGGGAGATCGATGCCCGTACACCGATTATCCCACATCAACTGCCACACCGATGTGCACACATTGCAAATTTGCAGTGTGATAGACATGCCGAGCCATGGGTGCTAGGATCGAAATTGCATGTTCGGGCGCAAGGGGAATACACCAACAACTTTGTCGTTATCCATTTAGAGCGAAGCAAAACTGGTCGCCATCCAATCAACTTTGGTCTGCGACTTTGGGCGACACCGATCGATCGCGACTGTCACCTGTGGCGTGATTTGCCCTCTCACCAAGCTATACGCACGATCGATGTGTGCACCATGGCACATCGATCGTGCGAGCTGCAGGTGCCACCATTATGGGTGCCCGTTTACTGTATATTTTCGACGTTCTGCGAAAAACGGATACTAGGCATTGGCGATGTCGCCAATATACTGTACAAGCGGCATATCGATCCCCCCCCCACGATCGATCCTGGCATTATGAAAACAGGTGCCGCGTCCTTACTCAAAACAATATGAGAAACAGACGTTATCATACTATTTTAGTCAGATTGTCTACCGTAGATTTCAGACTGTTTTTGAAATGATTCTTGTTTGTTTGTATTATTATTATTATTATTATTATTATTATTTTCAGAATTCCCATTTTGTGAATCCTACCGTAGTTGCTTCAGAGTTACGGTACAAGTTTGTGATGTGAACACTAGAAAGGTTGAGACTATCGAGAGTTTGCATACAATGTGGTATGCCTTCTATGATACCGTACTTCTGGTACTTCTCATTGAAATTCGACCATAATATACCATCAATTCCATCCAACAGACTTGAGTTCTTTTTTGCAAACAAGTTTGGCGAATCATTCGATCCGTGATAACACTGGCAGGCACCACCAGTGCTACCAGCACTCAGTGGCAAGCAGCCATGGTTACCTCACCCTTTACGAGGAGGAATCGCCCTCCGAAAAAACGAATCCAATCTCCAGCAGCCTGCAGATGCGCTGCAGTGCCTTCTTCCCCTTGAATGGCTGCTGTGCCATGGCCTTCTGCGCCTTCACCCACTGGCTCAGCCGCGCCAAGTCCTGCGCCCGCCTCAGCCTCCCCCCTCCCTGCTGCTGCCCACCGCTGCTGCTAACGACACCGCCACTGATACCACCACCACCAGCAGCAGTAGCAGCTCCGCCTGCTGCCCCCCCTCCTCCTCCCCCTTCCCCTGCCCCTGCTCCAGCACTGACACCATCACCAGCAGCAGCGGCACTAGCAGAAGCAGAAGCGGCGGTGGGAGGTGGGGCGGTGTTGGAGTGCGCGAGTGGTGCGTGGGAGACGTTGAGGTGGCCGTAGTCGCGCTTGAAGTCCACGAGAGCCGCAAAGTTCTCCTCCCACCGCGCATCCTCCAGGTTGATCGTCACGTTCAGCTGCTGCAGCTCCTCCTGTGGTCGACATAGGGGGAGAAAAGGGGGGAGTTAAGGGGTTGGAGAGGAGAAGAGGATGAGTAAGTGGAGGAGAAGGTGAGAAGGAGGAGGAAGAAATGGAGGGGAGAGGGAAGAAGAGGAAAGGAGGGAGTAGCACATATTACGGGATGTAAGGGCGAGGAGAGTTGGACTGGAGGATGCAAGAGGAACTTCCACCAATCCACCCGCCCACACGCCCACCTGCACACCCGCCCACCCGGCCACCCATCCACGCACCCACCCGCCCACCCGGCCACGCACCCGCTGCAGGGCTGAGAGTCGGTTGCGGCGCAGCAGCATGCGCTGCTTCTGCAGCCACACGCCCAGGGGGCTCCTGGGGGCCACGTGGCAGTGGCCGTGCTGTGCCCTGAACGCCCTCAGCTCGCCCATTCGCTCCTTCCACTCGCCCATCTCCGCCCCCTGCTGCTGCTTCTGCAGGAATCGATTGGATTGCGGGGTGAAAGGTGGGGGAAAGAGTAGGAAGATAGAGGATGGCAATTTAAGAAGAAAGGGAACGGAAGCAGCGACGGATGCAAGAAAGGAAGAGATTTATAACGAATAACAGAAAGAGTCTTGTAATCATTGGTTTGAGCAAACGAATCTCAAAAGAACATTAACACAGTGAGGGAAGGTTTACAGAGTGACAGCGGACCTACAATTTGAGCTCTGGTACCATCTTACTGATAGACTCGTCTGAAAAATATCTCTGATCAAAGTTTGTGAGAGGGAGAGAGGGTTGAGAGAGTGACATGGGAGCGGACCTGCAATTTGAGGTCCGAGATCACCTTGAGGCGCCTCTCCAAGTCCCTCTTTGGTAGCTCCTGCTCCACCCCGTGGGGACGTGGGGCGGAGGAGGCAAGGGGAGGAGGGGATGTTAGCAGGATGTTGGGATGTGGGAGGAGAAAAGGGAAAAGGAGGAAAGTGGGGTTTGTGGCAGATGCACCTCTTGCACAATACGTGGTACAGAGAGAGCAGGAGAGGAGGAGCGGAGTGGAGGAGTGGAGAGGAGAAGAGGAGGAAATTGCAGACATGCACCCACACACACGCGCACGCACACACCCACACACGCGCACGCACACACCCACACACGCCCGCGCGCGCGCGCACGAGCGCATAAGCATGCAGACACATGCGCACACACCTGTGGCACCATGCACGCACCTGTGGCACCATGCACGCACCTGTGGCACCATGCATGCACCTGTGGCACCATGCACGCACCTGTGGCACCATGCATGCACCTGTGGAACCATGCACGCACCTGTGGCACCATGCACGCACCTGTGGCACCATGCACGCACCTGTGGCACCATGCACGTACCTGTGGCACCATGCATGCACCTGTGGCACCATGCACGCACCTGTGGCACCATGCACACACCTGTGGCACCATGCAGTCTGCATGATGCGGGTCGAAGGTGAGCGCACAGGAGCACTCAAACTTGTCCTCCACCTCAAACCCACTCGGCACCCTGCCATGCCATGCTCGGTGGTGATGGGTGGTGATGGGTGGTGATGGGTGGTAACGGGTGGTGATGGGTGGTGGTAAGTGGTGATGGGAGTGCACGCACATACAATAGTGCGCAACTGCGAATGAGATGGGCTTCTAGAGTGCACTTTCAAACTAGGCATCTCACTCGAACCCACTAAATGCACTGACATGGAAACACAGGGCCGGTACGTCACTTCACAGGGCCGCTACGTCACTCACACTTCTGGCACTCCACAGCCTCACCTGCGCCACTTGCCGCACTCCACATCCCTGCGGGCAATCTTGCCGTCCGCGCGCACGTCGCCCTCGTAGTAGAGAATCCCCTCGCACTGCTCCCACCGCTCCTCCGCTGCCACTGGCAGGTTGCGCACGGGCTGCCAGTCCATGGGCCACTTGCCCTGGTGGAGAAGAGACGAAGGAGGTTAGAAGCAATGGGGTGAATAGAAAGAGGCGGAGGGTTAAGAGGGAGCTGGAAGGAGGAGCGGATGTGGTTGTATGCTTGCATTGCAGCTGCTACCACTCAGCAGCACCAGCCACACGAGCCCCACTAGTCCCATTGGTTACGCATTCAAGCACCAACCATACAGCTGCACCGGCAGCAGTGTTCAAACCTCTGCCACGCGCTGCTTCATACCTCTGCCACGCGCTGCTTCATACCTCTGCCACGCGCTGCTTCATACCTCTGCCACGCGCTGCTTCATACCTCTGCCACGCGCTGCTTCATACCTCTGCCACGCGCTGCTTCATACCTCTGCCACGCGCTGCTTCATACCTCTGCCACGCGCTGCTTCATACCTCTGCCACGCGCTGCTTCATGGCTTCTAGTTCCGCCTCCTTCTCCTCCTCGCTCAACGCCCGCTCCTGCCCAAACACAGCCCGCTCGCTGCTCCCAGGAGTGGCAGGCAGGGCGGGCAGGGGAAGTAGGGGGAGGAGAGGGAAGCAAAGCGGGGGGCGGAAGGAAGCAAGGCGAGGAGGGACAAGAAGAAGGGCGTGGGAAGGACAGAACCAGGAGTGGGGGGGGGGAGAGAAGCAGAGATGGTTGGCTGAGGTGACTTTTGAGTCGACTCAAAAGTCACCTCGGGGGGGGAAGAGAAGCAGAGATGGTTGAGTGAAGGTTGGGAGCAGCCTTGACGCTCAAAGTGGTGAACATAGAATAGATCAACACAGAGGGAACCACACAGATGCGCATTCAAAAGCAAGAGGCCGCGAGAGTGGGTAGTAGTGCGAGGGTAGGAAGACATCGAATGAAGAGGAAAGTAGAGAGGAACATGGGATGGGAAGTAGGGAAGAGAACAAGAAGCAAGGGGAGGGCAGAAGCACGTACAGCCCTTCCTCATCCGCGCGTTGCCCATCCCTCTCCATTGTCTCCTCAGCGCCGTGCCAGTCGCCCACCACGGCCTGGAACATGGGCCCCACGCGGATGTGCCCCTGCGCTGCCAGCCACTCGCCGCGAAGCAACCACTGCCCCCTGCCCCCCGGGCCTGACTTCAACGGCCGTATCCCCCCACGACTCCTCATCTGCACCACCCCCCCCTCCCCCTCCTGCTCCTCCTGCTTCTGCTGCCCGTTTCTTCCTGCCGCTCCCTCCTGCCCTTCCCCCCCTCCCCCTCCCCCCACTCCTCCACTTTCTCCTCCTCTGTCTCTGCTCTCTCCTCCACCACCCTTCCCCTCCTCCTCTTCCCCTCCTCCCCTCCCAATCCCCCCGTTCCTCGCCCCGCCCGCCCTCCCCTCCGCATCCGCCTCCCAATCATACTCCCACACAAACCCTTCCGCCCCCTTTCCTCCACCCAAACCCCTCCCCACCGCATCCAACCCCACCATGTGCCGTCTCGCCCACAGCTCCTCGTCCTCAAACACAACAGCGTTCCCCCGCTCCCACTGCTCCTCCGCGCACGCCTCGCACAGCCACTCGTCCCCTGCAGGGGGCTCTTCGGCGGGGGGGTTGAGGCAGCGCAGGTGGAAGCACGCATCGCAGGCGTCACACAGCAGGCACGTGGCGTCCTCCGCTGCCTTGCACACGGAGCAGGGGGGCGGCGGGCCGACTGGGGCGGGGGGGAGGGACGTGCTTGCTGCACTGGCCGCTGCAGCAGTTGCGGCAGTGGCTGAGTCAGTGCTTGCATCAGTGGCGCTGGCTGCAGTGCTGGGTAGCAGTAGCAGCAGCAGCAGCAGCAGTAGCAGTGGGTGTGGGCCCTGCAGGGGGAGGGGGATGGGTGCCCACCATGCCAGGGTGGGGTGCTGCAGGCTTGGCGGTTTGTTTTGTCGCTCTAACTCCCCGCAAGATGTACTTTGGCTCTAGTGCTGCCGCCTCTTGCTGCTGCTGCTGCTGCTGCTGCTGCAACTGCTGCTGCTGCTGCTGCTGCTGCTGCTGCTGCTGCTGCTGCTGCTGCTGCTGCTGCTGCTGCTGCTGCTGCTGCTGCTGCTGCTGCTGCTGCATCTTCTGCTGTTCCTTCTGCATCGTCTGCTGTTCCATCTGCGTCTCCTCGCCCTGCTCTTTCTGCTGATGCTCTTTTACCTCGTCTAGAACCGGAGCTCCATCAGAGATATCACCACCACCACTCCCTTCCCCGCACCAACCCTCCCTCGCGACCACATCTATCCCAGTCACTCCCGTACTCCCAGTAACCGCAATACCCCCAGTAACCGCAATACCCCCAGTAACCGCAGTACCCCCAGTAACCGCAGTACCCCCAATAACTGCAGTACCCCCGGTAACCGCACTCCCTTCCGCCCGAACCACCCCATCTACGTCCATCCCCTCGCCGGTCCTACACGCCACATCCCCCGCTCCCTTACTCTTCGCCTCCCCATTCGCCACCCCTTTACTTCTTCCCCCACTCGCACCACCCCCGGTCCCTCCTCCCGCTCCCCGTCTCCCCCCAGTGCCAATCCCTATCCCCTTCTTCCCACTCAGAATGCTCCCCCCACATGCACCACCAGCAGCGCCAGCAGCAGCAGCACCCGCTGTAGCACCCCCTTGGGTGCAATCATCCCAGCCATAGAGTCCCCACTCCCAGTACCACTGGTCCATCACAGCCCAGGGGAACGTGCCCTTGCCATACTCTGGTTCGCCTGCCCCTCCTGATGCTCCTCCGCCTGACCTCGCTGCAGACTTGGATCCGGCTCTAGCGTGACTAGCAGAGTGACTCCCTGCTCCTCCGATCCCACTCCCACCACCACCACAGGCACCAATGGCACCTGCAGCAGCACCAGCAGCAGTACCGGCAGCAGCAGTGGCGGTAGCGGCGGTGGTGGCAGGAGCAGCGGCAGCGCAGTCAGGAGCAGCAGCGGGAGAGCAGATGCGGGAGTTGAATTGGAGTTCAAATGGTTCGTTCACCACTGCCAGCTCACCCACACACACGTCCATGTCTCCTGCTCCACCTGCTCCTGCCACTACTCCTGCTCCCGCTGTTCCTGCTGCTGCTGTTGCGGCTCCCGCTCCTCCTCTCCCTCCTGCTCCCCTTCCCGAAATGGCATTCTGAGGCTTTGCGTGAGAGTGTGCGTGATTATGGGGAGTACTGCTCTTGCCTGCTCCTCCTCCCCCCCCTGCTCCGCCTGCGCCTGCCCCTTTACCGGAAATCCTGGCCATAGCGAGCACAGCACTAGCACGCATGCTCCGCCTCCTGCCTCCCAATGCACTCTCCGACCCACTCCCTGCCTTCCTCCCCTCCCCCTCACTCCCACTTCCGTCACCACCACCACCACCAGCCACTCCCAAGCCTGTGCTCGTGGGAGCACCACCTACAAGCACATCCGCGCTACAGGAGTCGTTCCGTACAATCACATCAATGTTACCCGTCGGCTGAGTCGACTCAAAAGCACCACTGCCACGTGCGTGCACATCTGCGCTACTGGAGTCGTTGTGTACAATCACGGCAATGTTACCCGTGGCCCCTCGCACCACCGCCTCAACCACATCAATCTCCATCCCCACCGCCTGCTCCCCCTGCTCCAACTGCTCCCCCTGCCCCCCCTGCCCCCCCTGCTCCCCCCCTCTCCCCTCCTCTCTCCCCTCCCCTCTGCCCTGCTCTCTCGCTTCCTCCTTTGCGCCACCATCGCCGTGCGCGCCCCCTTCCATTACCGTCCGCTCCTCCTCCTCATCAGGTGACCTTTGAAGCAACGGAGGTAGCTTCTGCGGCAATCCAGGTGCCTTCTTTACCGCTTCTACTGTCTCTAGCCTCCTAATCGTATCCACTTCCCCCTCTACTGCTAGTCCGTGCCCTAACAACCCATTCGCCATTTCACCGCTGCAACTCGCAACGCCCTTCTGCTCGCCCTCCATTCTCGTGTGCTCCTCTCCCCTGCGCATTCTCACACTGTCACGCTTTACGACTATTCAGGCAGGATACGTCCCGCCATGTGCCTCCACATTGCGTCACCAGGCTGTAGTCTCAGATACTTCCCGCAACCATGATTCTCGCTGCAATCAGGAATGGGAAGGTTGAATTCGGTGAAACTTAGATTATATATCCAAGGAAGGAATCGAGAGGTGGGGAAGGGGAGGGGAAGGAGTGGGTGGGAATAGGGATTGTAAGGAAGGAATCGGGGTCCATGAGAACAGCAGAGGAATATGACTTTTGAGGCGTCAACGAGGGCAGATCAGGCGCCTCAAAAAGGGTCCACGAGGGCAGCAGAGGAATAGGCGTAAAGAAACGAGCATGTGCAGAGTGCTTGGAAGGTGCTAAATCACCCATCTGTCAAGGCGTAATCACCCATCTGTCAAGGCGTAATCACTTATCTGTCAAGGCGTAATCACCCATCTGTCAAGGCGTAATCACCCAACTGTCAAGGCGTAATCACCCAACTGTGAAGGCGTAATGACCCAACTGTCAAGTCGTAATCACCCATCTGTCAAGGCGTAATCACCCAACTGTCAAGGCGTAATCACCCAACTGTGAAGGCGTAATGACCCAACTGTCAAGTCGTAATCACCCATCTGTCAAGGCGTAATCACCCATCTGTCAAGGCGTAATCACCCAACTGTCAAGGCGTAATCACCCATCTGTCAAGGCATAATCACCCATCTGTCAAGGCGTAATCACCCAACTGTCAAGGCGTAATCACCCATCTGTCAAGGCGTAATCACCCATCTGTCAAGGCGTAATCACCCAACTGTCAAGGCGTAATCACCCAACTGTCAAGGCGTAATCACCCAACTGTCAAGGCGTAATCACCCAACTGTCAAGGCGTAACCATCCAACTGTCAAGGCGTAATCACCCAACTGTCAAGGCGTAATCACCCAACTGTCAAGGCGTAATCACCCAACTGTCAAGGCGTAATCACCCAACTGTCAAGGCGTAATCACCCCACTGTCAAGGCGTAATCACCCAACTGTCAAGGCGTAATCACCCAACTGTCAAGGCGTAATCACCCATCTGTCAAGGCGTAATCACCCAACTGTCAAGGCGTAATCACCCAACTGTCAAGGCGTAATCACCCATCTGTCAAGGCGTAATCACCCAACTGTCAAGGCGTAATCACCCATCTGTCAAGGCGTAATCACCCAACTGTCAAGGAGTGATACCCCAACTGTCTGATGAAGCAGATGAGGCGCGAAGAGAGCATGACGCAAACATGCACACACATGAACAGGCAGGGACAAATGACTGGCCATTCCCGCACCTGCTGGCCTGGGACTGCTGGCCAGTAGCTGTGGCTACGATACGAGGCGAACGCACCGGGATGAGCGCCTGCACGCAGAGGAAACGTGAGGGAAACAAAGCGAAGGGAGAAAACAGAGGGAACCATGAACGAGTTAAGGGAAGCTAATGAAACATGCGCTTTGTTAATCTCTGAAGCTTGCAAAGGCGAAATGCACGACGACAAGATGCATTGCGACACAACGAGGAAACGATTCGCATAAGTCTCGCCGTCGGGAGAGCTGCGGTTACCTCTTCAGACCTTTCTCAACCGTTGTGGAACCCGTGGGGAGACGTGACGGAAGTGACGCGCCCAGGGAGTCACGCTCTGCGTCAGCAGGCCCTCTTCCTGATGCAGCGCGTCGAAGTGTCTTCCTCTGTCGAACAGCAATCGCCGTGTCTCAACAGAGTGGTTGCCTGGCGGAAAAGTGAGCAAGTGATATGTGCCGTACAGATGTGTCTGCTTGGCATGAAGTTGTTCTGGGGGTGGGCTGGGGACATACAACCGCTCCGCCACCGAGTTCCCTCCAACAGTATGATGAGAGGTATTTTTCTCTCGAGTTTCTTATCTACTCAAAGTTTTAAAACACCTTTTTAGTTCAGGTTAAAGATGAACAGCCAGTGCCAAATGGGACATACCATACAGTACACACCTATGCAGGCGCTGAAGGTATGCCTTTGTCAGGTGCACCTCTTTTGTACAATCTACATTTTTTTAGGCTACACCACAAAAATGGCAATGTAACAAGGCAAGCATGCCTTGCCGTACGCATTTCTACTAACCGGCCTCTTCCAACTGTGCCACCATCTGTTTTATTGTTGCAACATTCCTCTCCATATCTTCTAGCGAATCACTCTGCATGGGGTGCACTATAGACTCTTTGTAGCTTTCCCTGGCCTCCTCCAGCAGCACTTGCATGATCTCGCACTCCATGTTGCTCTGTAGCTTCTTTCCTGAATACCCCCTGAAGATGAGCTCACATGCAAAGGGATGCAACATTGGAAGGGGGACATAATGGGAGGGCACATAGTTGATTGCTTGAACTGCAGTGAGAAATGCACAAGGTGAGACCTCTCAAGCACCAAGCATTTTGACAACGAGATTGTAAAGAAGAAGAAAGCAAGGAAGTGAAAGAAAAGGGAGAGGAGAGAGAGGGGGGGGCGGGGGGGGGGGGGAAGGTGATCACCTGGCGCTTAGGCGGTCGTAGAGCAGCGAGTTGTCAGTCTGCAGCACGACCACGAGGTCGAACCAGCGCTCGGGGAATAAGTCGCACGAATGGTGCTCCACCAGCACGCCCCCCGCGCTCATGCTCTCCTCCAACTCGTCCACCACCTGCGCTCATGCTCCCCGCGCACAGACAGGGGGAGAGGAGGTAAGGGGGGGGGGGGGGGAGGTGATGGTCGGAGGCGGATGATTGCGAACAATAACAGATCTGAGGTGGAGCGTGGGAGAGTGATGGTAGAGACAGAGAGTATGGAATGGATGGGCGGAGAGAGTTAGGGATGGGCGGAGAGAGTTAGGGATGGGCGGAGAGGGTAGGGATGGGCGGAGAGGGTAGGGATGGGCGGAAAGAGTTAGGGATGGGCGGAGAGGGTAGGGATGGGCGGAGAGAGTTAGGGATGGGCGGAGAGGGTTAGGGATGGGCGGAGAGGGTAGGGATGGGCGGAGAGGGTGAGGATGGGCGAATAGGGTAGGGATGGGTGGAGAAGGTGAGGAAGAGCGGAGTTCAGGGCAGCAAGGGAGGGATGGGGAGGATGTGGGAAAGTGGTACACTCGGGGCCGAGGAGGTGGGGAAGGCAGAGGCTGACAGGGAAGGGGTGGGGTGTGAGGGGACAGGGGACAGGGGACAGGGAGGAGAGAGTAAGGCAGGGAAGGGGAACGTGTGAGCAAGGGTGGAACGTGGAAGCACAACTCCTTTCAACTGCTCAAACCCCCAAACCCCTGAAGCGACTCTGCTTTCACAGCGTTGCAACTCTAAATGCAATCCCATCTTCATCGTACGGCTTATCCAGACCCAGCCCATCACATGGCGTTTCACCCGAACCAAGCGTCGCTACCTTATCTTCGTCGCTACCTTATCCTCGTCCAGCACGAAGCAGTCGTACTCGTCATCCCACCCGTCGTGCAGCTCCTTCTGTCGCACAAGGTCGCCCACGTTCACGTGTCGCAGACCCGTCGCCTCCGCTACCAACTGACTCGTCGACGTCTTTCCCGTGCCGGGTGTACCCGTTATAAGCACATTCGGCCGACGACCACCGCGTGCTCCGACAGTAGCAGGGCCAGTGGAGCCCATTGGCAGGCCCATAAACCGGAGCACGGATCGCGTGCAAACCGGCGTGCGAGGTCAGCCCCGGCAGGTGGTGGCGACGAGGGTCAGATTCGCGCGGACGGCGGATTCGCGAGGAAGGGGAGGAGAGGATCGCGAGGAAGAGGCGAAGCGGGGGATACGGAGATGGATGCGCACGGTTATTTGGAACAAACAACACAACGAGCCTGAATCCAGAAAAGGCAGTCGTCACATTTCGTACTGGAGTAACGGGCGTGAGGAAATGCGTCCTGAATTATGTATGGAAAGTTCGGGAGAGTGTGTACGATCGAGGGTCGCGAAAAAGCAACGAGGTAACGCGCGAAAATCTAGGGTGCGATACTGCTGGCGCCTTGGGGCGTGGAACCTCTATGCCTTATATATATTCACGCTGCATGCGAACAATCGGAAAGAGAGTAGTCTGTCGCTCGGGAGCGACAGCTACCGAAATATAAGGCGAGTCCTAGGTCATGGGCGTGCTTCTTCTCACTATGTATCGAGTCTTAGAAAGGCAAGGAGTTTCACTAATTTCGGTAAGCACAAACAGTGTTCCGAGGTTTTTCTTGGCGAGGGAGGGACGTCACTAATTTGACTGCGGTGCTGTTGGTCAATCATATTGATGCGCTTCAGTGGGTCGCGAGGGATCTGGATCCCAACCAGGTTACCATGTTCTTTTACGAATCCAACTTGAAGGATGCCATGCCATTGACTCGGGCTGTAAAACGGCGATGCACAATCGCAGGCTGCGAAAACATTCGCGAATCTGTCAAGGATTCGCAGCAGGCCCAACCTTTCCGGGCCAGATGGTTTGATGCTCTGATTTTCACACATGAGAAATATTGTTCTTGCAAAACACATGTAGTCCTCCTTTCGGGAAATTTTCCCCGTTATCTTTTAATCGAGTCTGCCTAAGACGGTATGTCTGGAGGCTTCTGTTCCGGGCTGCGTGCTTTCCGCGAAGTGTTCGAGAAAATACGGTTTCGGCGGGTCGTGAAGTGCTTGCTGTCGCCATGGCTGTCGACTTGGTATTTAACCACATCGCGCCATGCGGTGTTTCATTAACACCCGCACAAACGCGCGTCCAGCCAGCAACGGGTATCGACTTCGTGTATTTCCATGATTTCCGCGCTTCTCAAGGGCAAGGCTTTCCGCTCCTTCCGCCTTCCGTTCCGCACTCCTGCATCTCCTGACGCCACTCCCGTAGCGCGCGTCACCCTACCAGCGTCCATCGCTTCTGTACGTTCTGAGCTATCTCCCTCCGCCCACCCGTTCGCCATGGCCGCCGTAGCCGCCGCAGCTCCAGTGGCAGCAGCGGGAGGTGCGGCCGCGGGTGCGGGAGCAGCTGCGGCGGAGATTCGGCAACCGAGGAAGGCCGTGCGCAAGCTGCTGTCCAGGGAGCAGGCGGAAGGCGCGGGGGCGCGCGTCAGGCGCAGCATCGGCAGGTGGGTTATAACGCCTCGCCCTACGGGCGAAGATGTTTGGGCTGATGCATTCGTATATACTTTTGAGGCGCCTCGAAAGGTGTAACGGGCGGCGGGAGATGGGGAGTCTTGGCGGGGGACGAGCAAGCGGAGTGGGAGCGGGTACGGTGGTGATTGGGGGGAAAGAATTTTAGAGTTGATTAGGGCGAGGGGAGTGGGAGTGGCAGTGAGAGGCAGTACGTCGCCGTTTTGCAAGAGAAATTCTCAAGACATGCCGCTGCAACGTGAAACCTTGTCTTCAAGTCTGTTTCCCTTCCTTCCGCCCGCTTTCCCGCGCGCTGCTGCCCCCCGGTGCGTGTGCGCGCTGCTTTCCCGCGGTGTGTGTGCGCGCAGGCCGGAGCTGCGGCAGCTGGACCCCTTCCTCATGCTCGACGAGTTCAAAGGTACGCGCGTTCCTGCTCCCCCCGCCCACGCTTCCCCCGCCCGTGCTTCCCCCGCCCGCGCTCCCTCCGCCCGTGCTCCCCCCAGCCGTGCTTCCCCGGCCGTGCTCCCCCGTCCGTGCTCAACCGCCCCTGCTCCCCCGCCTCTACTCCCCCGCCTGTGCTCCTCTGCCCGTTCTCCCTCCACTCTCTTTCCCGCGCGGCCCGCGCCCTCAGCGGCACGTCCCCCTTCTCCCGCTTCCCTCACTGCCGCCGCCACGCCGTGTTCTGCTCTGCTCCATGCGGCCATCGGCTACATTCCTCCCCCCACCATTTCTCCCATCCGCCTCTTCTCTCCCGCATGCTCCCACCTTCCCCTCTGAACCCCCGCAACCCTCTCTCCCCCCATCGTCCGCTGGTCTGCTGGCAGCGGAGAACGCAGCAGCGGGCTTTCCAGACCATCCCCACCGAGGCTTTGAAACCGTGTCCTACGTGCTTCAGGTGGGCCTTTGATCTGCTTCAGATGGATAGGAGTCTTGCTGCCACCCTTCGCTTCACAATCTTCCAATACCAGCTAACACGCCGACCGTCTTTCCATCGGGCCTCGAATCGACTTTCACAGTCCTTCACCTTGCATTGGCTGTGATTCTCATTCATACACAGTATTTCAGAGCTGGTGTGTCATGTCCATGTCATGGCCGCGCTTGCCTTGCGTGCCCGTGTGCGCGTGTGCATGAGCAGGGATCGTTTGTGCACGAGGATTTCAACGGCCACAAGGGGCAGCTGTACGCGGGGGACGTGCAGGTAGGTGTGTGTGTGTGGGGGTGGGTGGGGGGGGGGGGTGTGTGTGTGTGTGTGTGTGTGGTGTGTGTGTGTGTGTGTGTGTGTGTGTGTGGTGTGTGTGTGTGGTGTGTGTGTGTGTGTGTGTGTGTGTGTGGTGTGTGTGTGTGTGTGTGTGTGTGTGGTGTGTGTGTGTGGTGGGTGCCACTCCATGCCACCTGCTTGCACCCATCCCAACACCACGCCCCCTCCGCCCTGGAACTGCTGCTCTTTGCCCGTGCTGCGGTCAATCAGTGGATGACAGCTGGCAGGGGCGTGGTGCACTCGGAGATGCCTGGCGGGGGTCCCACCCACGGGCTGCAGCTCTGGGTCAACCTCGCCGCTAAAGACAAGATGTGAGTTAACCTCGCGGCCAAAGTCAGATGTAAGGGGGAGGGGAGAGAAGGAAACGTGGGGGCAAAAGGGATGGGGCCGTGTGATGAGGTCTATCTAGATGTGAGGGTCCCATGCATGGGCTGCAGCTCTGGGTCAACCTCGCCGCTGAACACAAGATGTGAGCAGGGGGGCGAAGGGGCTTTTGCTCTGCGTGTCTTCTCTTCCCTGCCTTCATCGGCTGCCTCTTATCCCGTCCGACCATGCTCAACCACGCCCGAGACATTCCCAAGGCATCCCTCAACGCCGTGCACGGCACCGCACGGCGCCATCGCAGGCAGCACCTCGCTGTGTCATCCCCCGACTGCAACCCCTTTCCCCGCCCCCCCCGCCCCACCTGCTCCCTCCTCTCCTCCCCCTCTCGCCTCTACCAGGGTGCCATCAGCCCTGGATTGTGTCGTCCCCCATCCACAGCCCCTTCCCCTCTCCCCCCCCCCCCCCTCTCTCTACCAGGGTGCCATCAGCCTACCAGGAGCTAAAGGATGCCGACATTCCCAAGGCATCCCTCAACGGCGTGCACGTGGCCGTCATCGCCGGCACCGCCCTCGGCGCCTCCTCCCCCGTCGTCACGCGCACGCCCACCTCCTACCTCTCCTTCCGCCTCAACCCCGGCGCGCACCTCGCGCAACCGCTCCCCACCGCGTGGAACGCCTTCATCTACACGCTCTCAGGAGCCGCCACCATCGGGGAGAAGGGGGCGGAGCCTATCGGTGCACATCACACGGTGGTGCTGGGTCCAGGGGATGGTGTGCACGTGTGGAACGAGGGCGCGGAGGAGTGCCGCTTTGTGCTGATAGCGGGGCAGCCTATAGGCGAGGCGGTGGTGCAGTACGGTCCGTTTGTGATGAACACAGAGGAGGAGATCCAGCAAGCGTTGAGTGACTACCGCCGCGGGGTCAACGGGTTTGAGAAGGCCCGGACTTGGCGGTCCGTGCATGGGCGGAGTGGGTAGGGTGGGGAGGGGTAAGGAGGGGGGTGTTTTTGTAACATAGCTCTGTCGTTTGTACAAAGAAGAGCGTTTATTTGCCAGTATTTCTAAGTGCAGCGTGTGGTTATGTTTATTCTACCTCAGTCGGTAGTAAAAGGAAGAAATTTTGTGCAATGTTACGTTCGAAGTCCATACGCTATTGTACCTTCTACTCATCCTGCAACCCAAGGAACGAAACGTCCTTCAAGCTTGCATCGCGGAAAAGCTCGGAACACATTCTCTCCAATCCCACTACACATTTCACTAGCCTCCGCACGCGCGCAATGCCCGCCGCTCCCCCGCAGTCCTGCGCGCTGCTCCCCCCTCTCCTCGCCGTCGGCGCGCTCACCTCTCTTGCGCTCGCCCTCGCCGCCCTCCACTTCTCCCTCCGCCGCCGCCTGCCCCCTCCGCGCGCGCTCAAGCGCGCCGCCGCGCTCTGCCTGCTCTACACGCTCGCGCTCGCGCTCCTCTCGCTCCCCGCGCCCTTTGCGCCCGCCTTCAGCCCCTGCGCTGCCCCGCGCGCGGATAACAATGCGGAGGCGGCGCGAGAACTAGGGGAGAAAGACGGGGTAGGCTGCGGGAATGAGGTGGGCGGATGGGGGTCGGCGCGCGGAGAAGAAAATTGGGGAGATGGCGCAGGAGGCGGAGGGCTGAGCAGGGGGGAGGAGGTGGAGAGAAGGGACGCGGAGGCGCAGGCGGAGGGGGAAGCGATGGGGAAAGCAGGAGAGGCGAGGGCGGGAGAGGCAGGGGAAGAGCGGGAGATAATGGAGGGGGAGGTGAGTGCAGGGGTGCAAGGAGAGGTGGCAGGTGCAGCAGCAGGTGATGTGGTGGTGGGTACTGGCAGTGCTGCTACAACACGTGGCACGGGTGGCAGCGCGAGCAAGAGTGGTGAAAGCGCTGGTGGCGCAGAGGTAGAGGGCGCGGAGGGCGGAGCGAAGGGCGGAGAGGGCGGGGATCGCGGAGAGGGCTCGGAGGGCGGAGAGGGCGCGGAGGGCGGAGAGGGCGCGGATGGCGGAGAGGGCGCGGAGGGCGCGGAGGGCGGGGAGGGCGCGGAGGCAGTGCAACCCACATCACCTGGCACACAGCCGCCCGCCCCTCAACTGCTCTCACCGCCCCCACACTCCACCCCCTCGCTTCTTCCTCCCTCACTGCCTCCCTCCCTGCCACCACCCTCCCCATCCCCCCATCCCCCATCCAATCCCTCCTCTCCCCCACTCTCCCCTCCTCCCCACCCCGCCCCGTCCTCCCCCTATCCATCCTCCTCCCTCCATCCCTCCCCCACGCTCCCCAACCCCCTCTCAACCCCGCTCTCCTCCCCATCCCCATCATCACCCCTCCCCACCACCCCCCCTTCACCATCCGTCCTCCTCCCCCCCACCCCCTCACCGGCGCGCTTCTTCATCTACCGACTGATCGGCAACGACATGCCGCCGCTGCAGTGTGGGCAGCAGCTGCACCGCAACACGCTCTACGCGCTGCAGCACGAGCCGCCCCTCCTGGAGCAAGCAAGGCGCCTGTGGGTGCTGAACCACGTGGTGAACAGCACTGCACTGGCTGACCTGGTAGAGGCCATGCGCCAACACGGGGTCAAGGACGAGGTATGACATGTGGTGTGTCTTAGCCACCCCAGCTGCAGCAAGCGCGGCGCCTGTGGGTGCTCAACCACGTGGCCAACACCACTGCGCTCGCTGAGCTGCTGGCCACCATGCGCCACGGGGTGAAGGACGAGGTGCGTGTGGGGTGAGCCAAGGGAGGGCACACCTGCAGCACGCACGGCGCCTGTAGGTACTGAACCACGTGGTGACCGGCACTGCACTCGCCGCGCTGGTTGAAGCCATGCGCGCCCACAGGGTGAAGGACGAGGTATGTCATGCTGTGCTGTGCGCTTGACATGCGTGTCATGTGGTGTGGCTTAGCCGCCCCTGCTGGAGCAAGCGCGGCGCCTGTGGGTGCTGAACCACGTGGTGAACGGTACCGCGCTGACTGAGCTGCTGGCCGCCATGCGCGCGCACGGGGTGAAGGACGAGGTGCCAGGGGGGGGGGGGGAGGGGAAGGGGGGGAAGAGGGGAGGGGGTGGCTTCTGTGGGTGGTATAAGAGGTGCGATGAGAATAAATGCATGAGGGTCTTGGGTGCAGGGGTGAGTGAGGGGGGACTATGAAGGGTGGCATGTCTTGGTCGTCTGTGCTGGTAAAATGTGTGCCTATCAGCTGCGTGCAACAGTCTGCACATTCAAGCATGTGTTTTGCGTCGTCACACACCGTGCCATGTAGTGTGAGTTTATACCCTCACTCTCACACCTTTCTCACCATCTACCTCCCACGATTCTCGTATCCCGTCCAATGCTAGTCAACCACATGCCCAACCTGCTCTCCACTGCTCTCTCTGCCCATTTCCGCGCCATCCCCCCCCCCCTCCCCCCATCAGGACATTCTCATCCGGCCGCTCAACCTATCGCTCATCGCCACGCTCGACCCCTCCCTCTGGACCACCGCTGTCACTGGTGCGCGCCTTCCTTCCATTCCCTGCTCGCAATCCAGCGTCCTCACACGCACTGGACCATGCTTCTCAAAGTTGCGCTCTTCTTGTAACATGCAAAATGTTGCATGACGCACAGCAGAAGGTATGAAGTTCCACCTTCTGGGTTGTCAGCATTCAAGAACATGTTCTTGAATGCTGGGTTGTCAGCTTCCTGGGCAGAGTCGGTTGTATGTTGATTGAGATATACATGGCTGATTGCTGCACAGTCAAGCTCCACATTTGAATGAATGGTATCCCCTCAAACCATGCACGTGCTTCCTTTCCAGGCTCTGAAATCTTCCATGCCGTCTCATGTATGCCATGCCTTCAGCCCACCTCCCGTGCCCTGTTTAGATTCCTCAGGCTCGCCTCTTCATCAAAACCCCGCGCTAACCCGCTCGACCCTCTGTTCCCTCCCCCCAGCGCAGAACGAGGCGCGCAACTTCATGTTGGAGCATGGGCGCAGGGAGGGCGCGCAGTGGGTGTTAACCTTCGATGGCAACCAGTTCGTGGCTCACCAGCGAGGCCTGGCGGTTGATAGTGCAGGCCGCTGACAGGCATGAGCAGAGGGGCTTTAAGGTCTTCAAGGTGGGTTGAATGTATACGTGGGGTTTGATGGGGTCTCGTCAGACACAAGCAGCAGGTGATTGCAGCAGGCAGCAGGTGCGTTAATCAACATCTACCATCATTTCGTTCTTGAAGAGGTTCTGCTAAAATCCACCCCATGTCCAAGCACCGTACCCCTTGCCCCTTGGCCATGCGTGCTTTCACATGCTCTGTGTTTGTGGTTGTGTGTGTCCCATGCTCTCGCCACTTGCCATGCTGTCATGTGCCCTCCTGTCATGTGCCATGCAGTCATGCGCCATGCAGTCATGTGCCGTGCTGTGTGTGCCATGCTGTGTGCGCATATCTGCCCCCCCCCCCCCCACCATGTACCCATGCACCATCCGTTGTGCCCCATGCACTGCACACACCCCACCACCAGGTGCCCATGTACAGGGTGCACCAGCAGCAGTCGCCCGCATGGCTCAACGCCTCATCGCGCTTCCTCCATCTGCGTCGCTTCGCCCCCCACCTGCATGAGAGCCAAGTCGCCTTCCGCGCCGATGCACCCTACCGCTACCAGCCGGGTGGGTACCGCTACCAGCCGGGTGGGTTTGCCATGCTGCATGTCTTTCCATCTGGCATGACGTCACTGGGTCCCCACCTGCATACAAGGCAGGTGGTATGTGGAGAGTGGTCGTGCCACTGAAACCAGATCAATTGGTCGTGCCACTGAAACCAGATCAATTGGTCGTGCCACTGAAACCAGATCAATTGGTCGTGCCACTGAAACCAGATCAATTGGTCGTGCCACTGAAACCAGATCAATTGGTCGTGCCACTGAAACCAGATCAATTGGTCGTGCCACTGAAACCAGATCAATTGGTCGTGCCACTGAAACCAGATCAATTGGTCGTGCCACTGAAACCAGATCAATTGGTCGTGCCACTGAAACCAGATCAATTGGTCGTGCCACTGAAACCAGATCAATTGGTCGTGCCACTGAAACCAGATCAATTGGTCGTGCCACTGAAACCAGATCAATTGGTCGTGCCACTGAAACCAGATCAATTGGTCGTGCCACTGAAACCAGATCAATTGGTCGTGCCACTGAAACCAGATCAATTGGTCGTGCCACTGAAACCAGATCAGTTGGTCGTGCCACTGAAACCAGATCAATTGGTCGTGCCACTGAAACCAGATCAATTGGTCGTGCCACTGAAACCAGATCAGTTGGTCGTGCCACTGAAACCAGATCAATTGGTCGTGCCACTGAAACCAGATCAATTGGTCGTGCCACTGAAACCAGATCAATTGGTCGTGCCACTGAAACCAGATCAATTGGTCGTGCCACTGAAACCAGATCAATTGGTCGTGCCACTGAAACCAGATCAATTGGTCGTGCCACTGAAACCAGATCAATTGGTCGTGCCACTGAAACCAGATCAATTGGTCGTGCCACTGAAACCAGATCAATTGGTCGTGCCACTGAAACCAGATCAATTGGTCGTGCCACTGAAACCAGATCAATTGGTCGTGCCACTGAAACCAGATCAGTTGGTCGTGCCACTGAAACCAGATCAATTGGTCGTGCCACTGAAACCAGATCAATTGGTCGTGCCACTGAAACCAGATCAATTGGTCGTGCCACTGAAACCAGATCAGTTGGTCGTGCCACTGAAACCAGATCAATTGGTCGTGCCACTGAAACCAGATCAATTGGTCGTGCCACTGAAACCAGATCAATTGGTCGAGTTCCTCATTTCTGCTCTCCACCTGCCCCTCGCACATTCTGCTCCAACTCCCACTCCGCTCGGCCCTGGTCCTCCCCGCTCTTGTGCCCCCACCGGGCAGGCATGGCGTGCATCATGCCCTGCAAGCTGGCACTGCTTCAACTGTATTCACCTACGTCACATTCGTCTCTCTCCTCCTCACACTACCAGTGTCACTCTGGCTCTCCCCGATTGTTGGCCCCACTCGACCGGCATGGCGTATGGCATATGGCATGGTCAGCAAGATGGAGCGGCCTGGACAGAGTTCACTTGGGTCAAGTTCGTATGTTCTCCGTGCTGTGTGCGCCCCGCGTGGCAGGCATGGCATACGGAACGACTGCAAGATGAAGCTGCTAAGACGAGGTGGGTTGCACTCACTCCAGTGACTTTCGTGTTTCCCCTCCACCTCTCTTCACCTGTGTCACTGTGGCTCGCCTCTCTGGCCGGCTCCACGTCCCACGTGGCAGGCATGGCGTACGGGCAGGACAACAAGATGGAGCTGCTTGGACATCATTCACTTGAGTCACGTTCGTATGGCCCACCTCCTTTGTGCGTCCCACATGGCAGGCATGACGTACGGGCAGGACAATAAGATGGAGCTGCTGACTCGCGTGTGTGGGTCGGGCAAGTTCCGGAAGAAGCACTTCCAGCTGTGGCAGCTGCAGGCCGAACAGGAGCAGCAGCAAGCAGAGCAAGACGGGCGCGAGGGGCATGAGGGTTTGGGGAAGGAGCAAGGGGGGCAGGGCCGGGTGATGGCAGTGGGCATGGCTCAACTCCCCGAAATACATGATGATGATGGTGACGAGGGCGAGGGCGAGGGCGAGGAGGTGGAGAAGGGGCGGTGTGGGTGCCACAGGGAGGTGGGGCTGGACGCGGGGTACCAGAGAGGCAAGCACCTGGTGGCGTACGAGTGCGGCTACAGCATCCGACTCTGGTACTTCCCGTGTGCCCAGGTGGATGTCGTGAAGATGTTCCTCAAGGCACACTACAGGGCTCAGCTGAGGGAGGAGGGTAGACAGCAGCTGCACGCCTTGATTGAGAGGGCGATAAAGGGTGCTGTTAAGGGGTGGCACAATGAAACAACACATTAGGGAGGTGGGGCTGGACGCGGGGTACCAGAGAGGCAAGCACCTGGTGGCGTACGAGTGCGGCTACAGCATCCGACTCTGGTACTTCCCGTGTGCCCAGGTGGATGTCGTGAAGATGTTCCTCAAGGCACACTACAGGGCTCAGCTGAGGGAGGAGGGTAGACAGCAGCTGCACGCCTTGATTGAGAGGGCGATAAAGGGTGCTGTTAAGGGGTGGCACAATGAAACAACACATTAGGGAGGTGGGGCTGGACGCGGGGTACCAGAGAGGCAAGCACCTGGTGGCGTACGAGTGCGGCTACAGCATCCGACTCTGGTACTTCCCGTGTGCCCAGGTGGATGTCGTGAAGATGTTCCTCAAGGCACACTACAGGGCTCAGCTGAGGGAGGAGGGTAGACAGCAGCTGCACGCCTTGATTGAGAGGGCGATAAAGGGTGCTGTTAAGGGGTGGCACAATGAAACAACACATTAGGGAGGTGGGGCTGGACGCGGGGTACCAGAGAGGCAAGCACCTGGTGGCGTACGAGTGCGGCTACAGCATCCGACTCTGGTACTTCCCGTGTGCCCAGGTGGATGTCGTGAAGATGTTCCTCAAGGCACACTACAGGGCTCAGCTGAGGGAGGAGGGTAGACAGCAGCTGCACGCCTTGATTGAGAGGGCGATAAAGGGTGCTGTTAAGGGGTGGCACAATGAAACAACACATTAGGGAGGTGGGGCTGGACGCGGGGTACCAGAGAGGCAAGCACCTGGTGGCGTACGAGTGCGGCTACAGCATCCGACTCTGGTACTTCCCGTGTGCCCAGGTGGATGTCGTGAAGATGTTCCTCAAGGCACACTACAGGGCTCAGCTGAGGGAGGAGGGTAGACAGCAGCTGCACGCCTTGATTGAGAGGGCGATAAAGGGTGCTGTTAAGGGGTGGCACAATGAAACAACACATTAGGGAGGTGGGGCTGGACGCGGGGTACCAGAGAGGCAAGCACCTGGTGGCGTACGAGTGCGGCTACAGCATCCGACTCTGGTACTTCCCGTGTGCCCAGGTGGATGTCGTGAAGATGTTCCTCAAGGCACACTACAGGGCTCAGCTGAGGGAGGAGGGTAGACAGCAGCTGCACGCCTTGATTGAGAGGGCGATAAAGGGTGCTGTTAAGGGGTGGCACAATGAAACAACACATTAGGGAGGTGGGGCTGGACGCGGGGTACCAGAGAGGCAAGCACCTGGTGGCGTACGAGTGCGGCTACAGCATCCGACTCTGGTACTTCCCGTGTGCCCAGGTGGATGTCGTGAAGATGTTCCTCAAGGCACACTACAGGGCTCAGCTGAGGGAGGAGGGTAGACAGCAGCTGCACGCCTTGATTGAGAGGGCGATAAAGGGTGCTGTTAAGGGGTGGCACAATGAAACAACACATTAGGGAGGTGGGGCTGGACGCGGGGTACCAGAGAGGCAAGCACCTGGTGGCGTACGAGTGCGGCTACAGCATCCGCCTCTGGTACTTCCCCTGCCCCCACGTGGACGTGCAGAGGATGTTCCTCAAGGCGCACTACCGGGCGCAGCTCAGGGAGGAAGGCAGACAGCAGCTGCACGCGGTGATTGAGAGGGCGATAAAGGAGTCTGTGAAGGGGTGGCACAGTGAAACAACGCACTAGTGCGCGCACGTGGACGTGGAGAAGATGTTTCTCAAGGCACACTACAGGGCTCAGCTCAGGGAGGAAGGCAGACAGCAGCTGCATGCCTTGATTGAGTGGGCGATAAAGGAGTCTGTGAAGGGGTGGCACAATACCACGATTCAGTAGGCTCAGGACTTGAGCAACATTTCTTCTGTATGCATATTCCAGGGCCGTGATAAGAGGACTAGTGCACCACAGCTCAGGCAGGCGCTCTGGCTCAAAAGAGCCTCTTGTTGTGAGCGCACTGGAAGAAGCAAGAGGCTTCCTGAGCAGCCTATGGTATTACCCTATGGATAATTTACTGGAGTGAACCCTAATTTTGCAAGGGTATAACTTTGCATCCCAAATCATAAGGGTGGCTGAAAACCAATCCCAGGTGCTCGTGCAGATTTTATTTAAATTGAAGTCTTGTCACGAGTCTAGCATGCCTGTCACTGGATGAAGGTGTTCGCTTGAAAATCCAGGCAGAAAGCATGCTGCTGAGGTCCCGAGTCCAGACGACGGGGTGCAGTGTATGAGCCGCACTGCTGCATGCGCCGCATGTTGGCTGCTCGGACAGAGTGCGGGAGAGTGATGGTGCATGTGGCTACTGGTGGCGGTGGTGGTGGCGGTGATGGCGGGCATGGCAGCTAGTGGCGGTGGAAGAGGCGGCCATGGCGGGCACTGACGGCCTCACAGAGGCGGCACGGCAGCGAGCGGAAGCCCAGCGCGTCCACGTGGGCGTACTGCCCCCACACACCACACGTGCGCCATGCGAATAGGTCCATGTACTTCACTGCAGGGGGGGGGGGGGGGGGGGGTGAAGAAGTGAGAGAGAGGGGGGTGGGGGGAGGGGAGGGGGGGTGAGTGGTGCAAACAACGTGTAGCCTGCACGCCATGGCATGGGGAACGGGGGTCCACATGGGCCTACTGACCCCACCCGCAACACATGCACGGGGGGAGGGAGGGGGCAGGGGAGAAAAGAGAGGAGGGGAAGGCAGTGAGCGCTGCGAATCAAGTGCAGCACGCATGCCATGTGATGTGAACAGGTCCGTGCTCACCTGGAAAACGCCCATATCGCGTTTTACACGGAAGAGTATATACGCATACATTGCATGGTAGATAGGTCCAGCTTGCACAACTGGGCAGGCTAAGAATTCTTGGGAAAAATATAGAGGTGGGGATGGGCAAGGCGCAAACAGTCAATGACCCGCTTCCTGCCCCCCTTTCAACTCCACTGCCCACAGTCCAGTCATACCCGTCATCAAGAACGAAAGAAGAAACAAAAGATGACTATGGAATGTGCTAGGAGAGGCCAGTTTGGTCGAAATTAACTTGTCCACTCGGCATTGAGAGTCGGAAGGAATTGGGAATCGATGGATTCGAGTGGGTTGCTCGGCGGAGAACAGGAGGGGGTTGTTGTGCACTGGCTTTGAGATCCATGATCAAAGTTGAAATTGGGATTTGCAAAAACCAAATTTGAGCTTCCAGTGTCGCGAACTCAAACCCAACTTTGGCCCTTCTTTTTTCCTTGGTCCGCCCCTGCATATTTCGGCGTATCTACACAAAGAACGCAGAGTACGTATGTTTGGCACTCACAGGGGTCGAGGTGCAGTTCCTGCAGGGTCGCAAGCAGCTCGGCGGGCGTGGGAAGCTTCCTCCCGTCGATGTACGAACCGGGCGGCATGAAGTTGTCCACATCCGGTGCGCCATAATAGATGGGCACCGTGCCTTTGTGGGTGGGGGGGGGGGGGGGGGGGGGGGGGGGGGAGGGTGTTTGGATGGATGGAGGGGTGGGGAGGGCTTGGAGAAGGGAAGTGGGAGGTGGGAAAGGATGGTGCTATGCCTGCCATAATGCATCCAGGGTGCAAGGCATGTGTGGAGACATGTGTACAGCCAGGTGTGTAGGCATGCGTGTATGGCTGTGTAAAGACTTTTGCAGGCATGTCCAGAGACATGTTGGTGTGTGCAGGCGTGCAGGCATGTGTGCAGGCGTGTGTGCGGGCATGTGTGCAGGCATGTGTGCAGGCGTGTGTGCGGGCATGTGTGCAGGCATGTGTGCAGGCGTGTGTGCGGGCATGTGTGCGGGCATGTGTGCAGGCGTGTGTGCGGGCATGTGTGCAGGCATGTGTGCAGGCGTGTGTGCGGGCATGTGTGCGGGCATGTGTGCAGGCGTGTGTGCGGGCATGTGTGCAGGCATGTGTGCAGGCGTGTGTGCGGGCATGTGTGCGGGCATGTGTGCAGGCGTGTGTGCGGGCATGTGTGCGGGCATGTGTGCAGGCGTGTGTGCGGGCATGTGTGCAGGCATGTGTGCAGGCGTGTGTGCGGGCATGTGTGCGGGCATGTGTGCAGGCGTGTGTGCGGGCATGTGTGCAGGCATGTGTGCAGGCGTGTGTGCGGGCATGTGTGCGGGCATGTGTGCAGGCGTGTGTGCGGGCATGTGTGCGGGCATGCGTGCGGGCATGTGTGCGGGCATGTGTGCGGGCATGTGTGTAGGCACGTGTGTAATGTAACCCCCTTGCACCGCACCCGCCTGAGGGCAGGTGCCATGTATGGCCTTGCACCCACCTGCTTCAAGCGTGTGGAGAAGCTTCCAGGAAACGAAGCCCATGAGGCGGGGGTCATCAACAACAAGTTCAAACTTGTAGTTGGAGGACAGGCAGTGCGCCTTCTGTGCGTGTTCTGCGTGCGCTGCCCTGCCCAAGGGAGGGACAGGGGCGGTGAGGAGGGAAGGGGATATTAAGAAGAGACTGAGTGTGGTGGCTTACGGCCTGTGAAAAGCATATAGTGGTTACATGGGTCAGGTGGAGTCAGTTGGTTGAGCTGTGCCACACTGTGCTGGTCAGTTGGAGTTGATGAGGTCGACCAGAAGAGTGTGGGCAGGTACCAGTAGGCGGGGCCACCCAGGAGTTCGAGTCCAAGCCGTTTGGGTTTAGCCCAGTTACCAGGCCGGAACGGCAAGGTTTGGAATCAAGCTGTTGAGTGATAAGCACTGCGTGGTGCAGGCGGGAAGAAGAGCAATTAGATAGTTGTGGAGGGGCAGGCAGGCGAGAAGAGTGTGGCGACTGACGTGGAGGGGCAGTGCACTGACGTGGAGGGGCAGTGCACTGACGTGGAGGGGCAGTGCACTGACGTGGAGGGGCAGTGCACTGACGTGGAGGGGCAGTGCACTGACGTGGAGGGGCATTGCACTGACGTGGAGGGGCATTGCACTGACGTGGAGGGGCATTGCACTGACGTGGAGGGGCAGTGCACTGACGTGGAGGGGCATTGCACTGACGTGGAGGGGCATTGCACTGACGTGGAGGGGCATTTCACTGACGTGGAGGGGCATTGCACTGACGTGGAGGGGCATTTCACTGACGTGGAGGGGCATTGCACTGACGTGGAGGGGCAGTGCACTGACGTGGAGGGGCATTGCACTGACGTGGAGGGGCATTTGCACTGACGTGGAGGGGCATTGCACTGAAGTGGAGGGGCATTGCACTGACGTGGAGGGGCATTGCACTGACGTGGAGGGGCATTGCACTGACGTGGAGGGGCATTGCACTGACGTGGAGGGGCAGGTGTCGTTGAAGAGCACGTCCTCATTGCAGGTGACGACCGGTGGTGCAGTGTCCAGTGAAAATTGTGGACAGGTAGGTGAGAAGAGCGTAGGGCACTGACGTGGAGGGGCAGGTGTCGTTGAAGAGCACGTCCTCGTTGGAGTTGTTGAAGTTGTTGCCGCACTGCCCAAAGCTGTGCGTCGGTATGTGCGCTGCCACCTGCATGCACACACACAGGGGTCATGGGTGTGTGATCATGCGACGCACGCGCACGCGGCGAGGGGATTCGCCAACGACTGGTGGTGCCGTCTGCTCTCTGAGTGCGGCAAGAGCACGCATTTCTGTGCTTCAGAGAAACAGTGAGGTGCAGAGATGGCGCAGAGCGAGAAGGGCACGGCATAGAAGGGCGAGCAGAGCATAGTATGAGGGAGATGTACTGTCATTGCAGCAGTCCCGTGACACTCATAGCTGCAGGATTCAAGGGGCCGATGGCAGGGGTGCCACAAAACAAGGTGAGGTCACTCGTTCTGACGTCACTGACCAGCTCCGGATGCCCGCACCGCGCACATGCCACCGCGCTGCATACCTATGCACCTCGCACCACCCCACACCATTCTGCATACCTGTGTGCCTGGCACTGCTCTGCACCGCTGTGCATACCTGTGTGCCTGGAGCGAGCAGGGTGGGGTCCTGGCAGTCGTCCTCATGCCAATACACCAATGTGTCCTGCCGGGTGGGGGGAAAGGAGGAAGGGGATGGGGGGTGGGGAGGAAGGGGATGGGGGGTGGGGAGGAAGGGGAAGAAAAGGGAGGGAGGGCCCATGGTTGCAGTGAAGGAGGTGGCCCAAGGAGCAGGCAGGACAGCAGCGTGGCGTTGTTGCGAGCGGGCTAGTGCGCACTAGAGGAGTGGCTTGCTCGAGGCAGGTACAAAAAGGTTCTCCATGCGAGGAATGTGAAGAGGACTGGGATTGAGAATGGGAATGGAAATGAAAATGGGAGTGGGAGTGGGAGTGGGAAACCGGGAATGGGAGTGGTAATGGGAATGGGAATGGGAGTGGGAATGGGAATGGGAGTGGGAATGGGAATGGGAGTGAGAGTGGGAATGGAAACGAGAGTGGGGAATGAATAAAGTCACAAAAAGCTTGAGCATGTGAAGGTGCAGCAATCACAGAAGGCACTCAGAGGCCACCAACCAACTGACCACCCGACCTTGCGCACGGCAGCAAGGGAGAGAAAGAGAGAGCGAGAGAGAGGCACGTGGAACTGGAGAGGCACCGTTGCACGGAGGGCAGACAGAAGCGGCACTGCTGCACCCCCTCTCCCTCCCCCCCACGCGCACCTGGAACTTGAGGGGCTGCAGGCCGTGCTGCCTGCCAGCAGGCATGGCATCGGAGAAGCGAGCGAAGGTGAGCTGCACGTCCGCCCCCCGCCCCCACCACACCGCCACGTCCCCCTCCTCCGCCCTCCCGCCCCCCCCCGCCCCCGCCGCCCGCCCCATGTCCAGGTAGATCTGCAGGGGGTCGCCCACCTGGGAGGCGGAAGGGGGGGGAGGGGTGGGGAGGGGGGGACGTGGTTGGGAGGACAGCCGTGTGTGGTGGGCCGCCCCCGCCGCCCGCCCCATGTCCAGGTAGACCTGCAGCGGGTCGCCCACCTGGCCGAGAGAGTGGGTGGGGTGGTGGGTTGGGTCACGTGCAGAGAAGGAGATCTGCCCGCCCGCCCCAGGGGGTCGCCCACCTGGGAGGGAGAGTGGGCAATGGGGGGAGGAGAGGTTGGCACGGTTGGGAGGACAGCTGCCCGCCCCATGTCCAGGTAGACGTGCAGGGGGTCGCCCACCTGACAAGGGGGCAGGAATGGGGGGGACGTGGTTGGGCGCAGAGCTGTGTGGGCGGCATGGTATTAGAGGGAAGGCAGTGGCAGGGCGCGCAATGAGAGGGCACACAGTCACCGCTGGCGACCAGGCGGGTGCAGCCGGGTGGTGAGGTGGTGCACGTGCAGAGAAGGGGAGAGGTGGAGGGCCCCGCTGCTACCACAGCCCTGCCCACCCACCCCCCTTCCTCCCTCCAGCCCTTCCCCCCTCTGCTGCACTCCCCTCTGCTATTTCGCCTACTCCGCTTCTCCCCCCCTGCTGCTCCCCCTTGTGTGCTGTGCCCACCTGTCGGCCGGGCGGGGGCGTGTTGGGGGCGACGTGGAGAGTGGCGTCCGCATGCGATGCCATGGGCTCACTGAACGTTATCTGGCCAGCAGGGGAGGAGGGATGGAGGAGGGTGGTGAGAGAGAGGAGGGTGGTGAGAGAGAGGGAGAGGGAGAGGGAGACAGAGAGGACCCATATATCGAAACAAGCATGCTGTATCTCCCCTGCCTATATCAATGAAGGACCATTCGAGGAAGAGACAAGGGGGGGAGGAAGACGAGGTGCCACAACGTGACTGCTTATTGCGAATGTCATTTGGTGCACCCGGCATGTCGTTGAGTGTACCTGGCATGTCATGCGGCACCTCGGGCAGAAGTAGTATCCCTCAATGCTGCCCGCATCAAACCATGAGGAATTGGTGGGGACAACAAAGACGGTGACGTGGCGCAATCTCATTCGGTTGCACGATGGTTCGTTGGGGTCCTGTTGGGCGTGTGAAGAGAGGAACACCAGGTTGACTTATGAAGGCCAGGGTTGACTTATGAAGGTCAGGGTTGACTTATGAAGACCAATGCAAGTGAACCAAGAGAGGAATGGGGACGGGTATAAGACGTGAGTTGCTGATAAAGGGGCGTGCCTGCAGCGAGGGGAGGGAGGGCGTGCCTGCAGCGAGGGGTTGGGCGGCCAGGCGAGGGGGTCTCTGAAGCAGTTGATGAGGTGGCGGTGGCGCGACCGGAACGATGCACACCCCACGTGGCGCTCCCACAGCCTAGTGCGGTGCATGGTGGCATGGGCGTGGGGCATGGGGGCATGGGGGCGTGGAGCATGGTGGCATGGGGCATGGGCATGGGGGCATGGTGGCATGGTGGATGGTGGCATGAGGTCATGTGGGTGAGGGCATGGGATAGGGGCATAGGGGTTGAGGGCATGAGGTTGAGGGCATGAGGTTGAGGGCATGAGGGGTTGAGGGCATGTGGGTGAGGGCATGTGGGTGAGGGCATGTGGGTGAGGGCATGTGGGTGAGGGCATGTGGGTGAGGGCATGTGGGTGAGGGCATGTGGGTGAGGGCATGTGGGTGAGGGCATGGGTTAGAGGCATGGGGGGTGCACGGGAGATGGCATCATTCTCTCCTTCTGCAACCTTCACCCCCCCACCCCAACCCCTCAGCCCCTCCATTCCTGAACCCCTCAGTCCCTGACCCCCTCACTCACTCATCCCCTCACTCGCTCATCCCCTCACTCGCTCATCCTCTCACTCCATCTCCTCACTCCCTCACCCCAACTTCCTGCCGTCCCCCTGAACCGCACTGCACCGCTTTCTCTCATCTCACATCACTCTGTGCCTGTCGTCCTTTCCGCTCCGCCACAACGTTTCCGCTCACTCCCGCGCGCACCTGGCGGCGGCCTGCACGTCGAACTTGCCGTCCGTCTGCGTCTCGTTGAAAAGCCCGCGCCCGAAGCCCTCGTCGCGCCGCGCCGCGTCGCCGTCGGGCCGCCCGAAGTACGTTTCGGCGTCAATCTCGAGGTCCGTGGGGACCAGCGTCGCCGCCACGATGAGTACACTCAGTAACGCTGCGAAGGCTGCGAAATGTAACGGTCGTTTTCGCGGATGGATGGCGGCGATTGACGAGCGAATGCAGTCGAGTATGTCAGAGTAGAGAACGCGGATATCTGACACGTGGCTGCGGCTGGTTGGCTCAAGGTCGGCCGTTATGGGACGCGGCTTGTGACGAACCTCCATTGGGAGAGTTTGTTACTGCCTCTCGTGGTGTATGGGTGTTACACGTGAATACGGTTACACGTATACAAAAAACCAGTTGGAGTGTTACTAGCCACAGGGCGATAAGCTAGTAACTCGAAAAGAGAGCATGACTGCTCTGGGTGCGATGGTCAACTGGAGAGCATAATATCGTGTGGAGCAAAGCGCACTCTGGAGGCAGGAGCGCCGCGGCGCGAAAGGTGACAAGTGGTGGGGTGCGGGTGGCGCGTGCAGGAAGACGGGACGGGAAACGGCTAAGGAAGTTGGGCCGACGATACGCGATATTGTATGGTGGCCTGCCTAACCGATAGGCACCACGACAAGCGCAACGGACACCGATGATGAAGGAAGCGAACTATTTTCTCGCCCCTGGAGTTACACATGAAACTTTTCGCAGCTGTCGTGAGCGCATAATTTCTTCGCCCATTGATTCGTTTTCGTCCCGCCAAAATTCTTGAAAATGGTGTCCCAAATTCTCGAAAGATGGATTGCATAAGGACGCGTCACAAGTAAAATATCGAGGAAGGATCAGGGTTGTTCACCGAACCTGTCAAACCGATCGCCATATCGGTGTGTCACGACTGCTTTGAAGTTTCAAGTGACACGGTCGTAAAAACATGGGGCAAAATTGCCCGATGTGGACGAAATTGCACGATCGATGTGTGACAGGGGCACATCGATCGCCTGACTTAGAAGGGAAAACTGTACGTTAGCGAAAATAAACGAAAATGTGTAACCACCTAAACACCGATTCTAGGCAGGATCGATGTTCTACTTGTGACGCGTCCTAAACCCTGGAAACCTTCTAGTACTGCTCCCATCCGTTCTGCAAAACCCCCAAGGAGCAAGCTTTCCAGCACCAACTCCTATTTTCGCGATATTCTCGACATCGAAGCGAAGGATGTTACATCCCCGGCCCTACACGTTTGGGACAATGGCTTCCGCGATAATACCGGTGCGTCGCACTCGCTCGTACATGAACTTGGAGGATCTATTGCTCAGTCCACATGTGCGCTCCATTGCACAGTACAAGGTCCGGATTGGTCTGTGTGGCGCCCAAACGAATCAACAACAGCCTGTGCTAGCTCCTCCTCTCCTCCCGCCGATTTCGTGGATTCCCTGAACCTATCACAAGTCCCGTCGTTTGGGGTTCTGGGAATCCATGGGACGTGGTGGGCATGGATCCCGCAGCCCGCTCCTTCTAGCGCAAGAATCCAACCAATGAGGCTCGGCCGTTGAAAGATCATAGCGTAGTGGCCCTCACGACGAGTCACAAATACTCATGTCGCCTGAGGACGCGTCTCCTGAAGCGGATCGATCGGCTGGAAGGTCGGTTTTGCGCGCGGAGTGTAGCACTGTAACGTCGTAATCAACAACGTAACCAGTATTCGCCAATGCTCGCGAATGTACAGTAATATTGTGCCCACAATCCTGTCACCCATGGGAGCCTCGATCGATATAGCGAAGTGTACATATCAATCGTGAGATTGGGTGGCGCGGTGTGCGATTTCGCGCCACAATTGACAGTCAATATCGATCGTCTTCGCTAGTCGTTGCACTGTTACTGCACAACGTCGCATACACTGGATTTTCCAGTGCGAATTTTAGCGCGACAACAGAGCTGTTGTCGCGGGGTGAGTGTACCACAACCCCAAATCCTGCCTTACTGAACCTGTCACCTGTATATCGGTGCGCCGTAGTTGCACAGACCTGGACACCGATCTCTGTCGAGCCTGGGCTCGAAATGACGATCGGTGCGGGTCGGCCGATCTATCCGCTTCAGAAGACGCGTCCTGAGTCATATGCCTGCCTTCGCCTGCTATGGTAATGTATCACGAGCAAGGAGTGGTGCAAACTTGCCTGGGTGAATGCACGGTTCACAGTACAGTAGACGGCCTTGCCTCATTATGCCCAACGCGGTGCCAGCCGCCTTTCCTGTGCAGAAAAAACGAACGGCTACAACTTGAAGTTAGGCATTCGATAAAGGAAGGAATTTACCCGTAGGTTTCAAACCGTCGGAGTTCCTAGTGCGGCGTTTCGTACACCCCTCAACTTCCCGTCGCGAACGACAAGGAACTCTCGTAGCTGAGGAAAAAAACGGCAGCATGATAGAGCGCGATGAACAGCGCATCTCCACCCTTTATCTTCAGCTCCAACCAGGCGATCATGGGTAGTGAGAGTCTATACTGTACTTGTATATTGTCGCTGTTGCTTCAGGAGTCTCGCATCCAGGGCCGTTTACACTCTGATTGTCCCTATCTTGCGGCCTATCATACAGATTCGCATTGGGACGGGGTCGTTTCAGAACGTCTAGAAGATAAGTTCTTCCGTTTCGCCTACTAGTCTGAGCGACAAGTTTACCCGTCAGGTCGTTGAGCCAAACGACTTTTTAGTAGCAGCGCGAATCACCAGCCATGACGACGATTCGACGCGGCCTTCTCCTCGCGGTTCTGCTGCTGCTCGTCGTCAGTGTTCTCCCACCCATGATAAACGCCGCACGATTGATTCCGGCGCCGTCTAGTTGCGGGTGTGTTCTCAATGTTACAACTTGCTGTGTCGCTTCCCTTGAAAAGCACCCTCCCGCTCCCTTTCTTCCAACCCAACCCCCTCCCTCTCCTCTCTCACCCTCCGCTCGCTTCCCCTCCCTTTCGTCCACAAGAATTCCAATTGATTGTTCCTCTCCTCCCCCAACGCCACAGCCGGTCCCTCTCCTCTTCTATCACCTCCCGACTTCTTCCCATGGGTCCTCAAGTCTCACATCTAACCCTCTTTCTCTTCGCCGTTTTCGTGAATGTTCGCAGCAAGCTCCGTTGGCCGGAGGTGGTGGGGATGGAGGGAACCAAGGCTCGCAATTACATTCTTGCCTCGGAGCCGCAGTGCCGCTGGGACGTGAAACTCATCCCTCCCAACGGATATGCCACCGGCGAATGCCGCCGAAACCAACTTCGACTTTTTCTCGATAATCGTGGGCTTGTTCGGACGGTGCCTGTAACGTGCATTAAGCCCCCACAAGGATAACTTCCAGTACCCCTGTTCTAAGAAGTGCCTCACTCCTGAAGGCACAATCACTGTTAGGCGTGTAAGCCACGACAAGGGGGGGGCAGGTTGAGAAAGAGCTGAAGCCAACATTCTTACTGACCCAGTGCAGTGAACCCAACCATTTGCCTCATCTGCAAGATGTGATCGTATGCACTCCAGTGTGGTAACGTTTGTATACGGCCATTTACCAAACATTCAATATACCCTGCATTAGCATTGTTTTTCACTTAGGGATGGTGGTTTCCATGTTTGTAGCACGAATGCCATGATGAACAGATAACACAAAGTACGAGGAAGCCAGCATATCATGCTATTGGGCTACCATGGCTTCGTGAAAGTAACCCGGGCTGCTGACGCCGCGAGAGGCGCATTGGCATGGGGCGCAAGTGCAGCGCAAAGTGGTCCAGCACAGCTGCCCCGTCAGCACACAGCGGTCCAGCACAGCTGCCCCGTCAGCACACAGCGGTCCAGCACAGCTGCCCCGTCAGCACACAGCGGTCCAGCACAGCTGCCCCGTCAGCACACAGCGGTCCAGCACAGCTGCCCCGTTGCCACAGACAAGTCCAGAGAGTGCGCTGTGGGGTTGGGATGGGGAAAGGGGGGGGAGGGCGTGCAGAGGGGAGGGTGAGGGGAGGAGAGAGTGGGTAGGGATGAGACAGGATCAATTCGCAGTGGCACCTCGTGCCGCAGAGTGGGCAGACGGGTTGTAGGCAGACGGGGCGGGAGTGGGCAGACGGGGTGGGAGTGGGCAGACGGGGTGTGAGTGAGCAGACGGGGTGTGAGTGAGCAGACGGGGTGTGAGTGAGCAGACGGGGTGGGAGTGAGCTGACGGGGTGTGAGTGAGCAGACGGGGTGTGAGTGAGCAGACGGGGTGTGAGTGAGCAGACGGGGTGTGAGTGAGCAGACGGGGTGTGAGTGAGCAGACGGGGTGTGAGTGAGCAGACGGGGTGTGAGTGGACATGCTGTGGTGCGCTCAGCGATCGCATTGCGGGGCTCCTCCATCCATCCTAACCCACCACACCCCACCGCAACCTACCGCACCACAAGTGAAGCCCTGCACAGTCACGTGCAAGAGTGACGGCAGTGTACAGGTGAATGCGCGTGGCATGTGGAGGAGAGGACTCAACCTGCATGCCTCGCCTCCTATCTGCAGCCTTGTCCCGCATGTGCCACTCGCACGCGCCACTCGCACACGCCACTCGCACACGCCACTCGCACACGCCACTCGCACACGCCACTCGCACACGCCACTCGCACACGCCACTCGCACACGCCACTCGCACACGCCACTCGCACACGCCTCTCGCACACGCCTCTCGCACACGCCTCTCGCACACGCCACTCGCACACGCCACTCGCACACGCCACTCGCACACGCCTCTCGCACACGCCTCTCGCACACGCCTCTCGCACACGCCACTCGCACACGCCACTCGCACACGCCACTCGCACACGCCACTCGCACACGCCACTCGCACACGCCACTCGCACACGCCACTCGCACACGCCACTCGCACACGCCTCTCGCACACGCCTCTCGCACACGCCTCTCGCACACGCCACTCGCACACGCCACTCGCACACGCCACTCGCACACGCCTCTCGCACACGCCTCTCGCACACGCCTCTCGCACACGCCACTCGCACACACATGCCACTCGCACACGCCACTCGCACACGCCTCTCGCACGCGCCACTCGCACGCGCCACTCGCACACGCCACTCGCACACGCCACTCGCACACGCCACTCGCACACGCCACTCGCACACGCCACTCGCACACGCCACTCGCACACGCCACTCGCACACGCCACTCGCACACGCCTCTCGCACACGCCTCTCGCACACGCCTCTCGCACACGCCACTCGCACACGCCACTCGCACACGCCACTCGCACACGCCTCTCGCACACGCCTCTCGCACACGCCTCTCGCACACGCCACTCGCACACGCCACTCGCACACGCCACTCGCACACGCCACTCGCACACGCCACTCGCACACGCCACTCGCACACGCCACTCGCACACGCCACTCGCACACGCCTCTCGCACACGCCTCTCGCACACGCCTCTCGCACACGCCACTCGCACACGCCACTCGCACACGCCACTCGCACACGCCTCTCGCACACGCCTCTCGCACACGCCTCTCGCACACGCCACTCGCACACACATGCCACTCGCACACGCCACTCGCACACGCCTCTCGCACACGCCACTCGCACACGCCACTCGCACACGCCACTCGCACACGCCTCTCGCACACGCCACTCGCACACGCCTCTCGCACACGCCACTCGCACACGCCACTCGCACACGCCACTCGCACACGCCACTCGCACACGCCACTCGCACACGCCACTCGCACACGCCTCTCGCACACGCCTCTCGCACACGCCACTCGCACACGCCACTCGCACACGCCACTCGCACACGCCTCTCGCACACGCCTCTCGCACACGCCTCTCGCACACGCCACTCGCACACGCCACTCGCACACGCCTCTCGCACACGCCTCTCGCACACGCCACTCGCACACGCCACTCGCACACGCCACTCGCACACGCCACTCGCACACGCCTCTCGCACACGCCACTCGCACACGCCACTCGCACACGCCACTCGCACACGCCACTCGCACACGCCTCTCGCACACGCCTCTCGCACACGCCTCTCGCACACGCCACTCGCACACGCCACTCGCACACGCCACTCGCACACGCCTCTCGCACACGCCACTCGCACACGCCTCTCGCACACGCCACTCGCACACGCCACTCGCACACGCCACTCGCACACGCCACTCGCACACGCCACTCGCACACGCCACTCGCACACGCCACTCGCACACGCCACTCGCACACGCCTCTCGCACACGCCACTCGCACACGCCACTCGCACACGCCACTCGCACACGCCACTCGCACACGCCTCTCGCACACGCCACTCGCACACGCCTCTCGCACACGCCTCTCGCACTACGCTCACCTGCTCCGTGCAGTCGAGCGCAAGCCTGCTCCGTGCAGTCGAGCGCAAGCCTGCTCCGTGCAGTCGAGCGCAAGCCTGCTCCGTGCAGTCGAGCGCAAGCCTGCTCCGTGCAGTCGAGCGCAAGCCTGCTCCGTGCAGTCGAACGCAAGCCTGCTCCGTGCAGTCGAGCGCAAGCCTGCTCCGTGCAGTCGAGCGCAAGCCTGCGCCACGCCACGTCTTGAGCAGACGTGATGCCTGTCCCCTCCCCCGCCCTGTCCCCCCTCCCCCACCCTGCCTCTCCCCCGCCTGGTCCCCCCGGTCCGCGCGCCCATCTGCAGCTGCATCGCCCCTGAGCGCCCTTGCTGCTGCGCGCTCGCCGTAGCTTCCCGCGCCGTGGCCGCCCGCGTATTGGCTTCCTGCGCGCTCATCCGCAACCCTTCCCGCCCGTTGCGCCGCTATTATCACCTTTCGCGGCGTGCGCGTTCCCTACAGCCCGTCCGCGCCCCTCCCAGCCGCGGGGCCGTCTTGGCGGCGGACATAACGCGGGAAGCGCGGAAGCCGCAGACGTGGATATTTGCTGCGCGAAGAGCGGATGGGGGACGACGAAGCGGCGAAAGGCGGCGGACAGGGCGGAGAGTAGCCCGCAGCGGTGAGCGAGGCGCCGATCAGTCGCGAGGGCGGGAGTCGCTGCCGTCGCCATCATCATCGGCGCTGCGCTGCGCTGCCCGCCGCCACCACGACGCGACCATGATGATAGCAGCGTCGGCGACAGTCGCTGTTGGCTGAGCGTGCGGCGCGGCTGATCGCGAGCGACCCTGGCGCTCTCATGCTGCCGCTGCCGCTGCTGTGAAACGTTTTTCGCTGAAGGATCGTCGCGATGATGGCAAAAGACGACGCTCCTCTTTCCTCCGCAATCGCGAGCTCGTTACGAGCCACATCGAGGGGGCACACATCATTGATGTGCCGTGACGCGCGGATTCTATTTCTAACGACCCACTTGAAACAAGCATGAAAATCAGTCTCAGTGCTCTTCAGGGCGAGCTAGAGTTGTGATTAAACCGTGGGGGTTTGTCGCGTTGCAATGGTGCACTGCGCACGCGCTAGACCAGACGCGTAAGGTTGGTTGGGAAGAGAAGTGAAGTGGGTGGTTGTTTGGAGAGTATGTACCCGTGTGAGGGGAGAGCGTTGGGGAAAAGAAACAGATCGTAAAAGGGTGGTTACCCAGGTGACGAAAGCGAACTTGCTCACAGCGTCTGGTTACCAGGTGATACAAAAAGTTGCTCGTCCATTCGATTCGCGAAGAACGTTCAGGCAGGACTACACTTGTCCCTCGCGCCTCCCCGCCCCCATCGCACAAAAAACAAATCCACTTGACTCGAGGGTTCCGCAGAATCGACAGGCTTGTTTCACACGTTGTTCCTTGCAGGCATGCCCCTGCCTCGCCTCCTCTTGCAAGGATTCTGTCATGGGACTCGTCACTTGGCTTATGTACCTGTGTGCGGCTGCAGTTTCTCCTAGAACAGATCCGACCAACGGGGCGCGGTTGTAGTGTGCTGTACTAGTGCACCTGTTAAAATATCTCCGCCTACTGTGAACGCTGAGGATCTCACAATCATGTCGTCCCGAGCGAGGATCACAGCCTTGGCTTCCGTGTTCCGCTGCCGCTGAAGGAACTCACGGTTCATACTGTAATATATCGCCTTTCCTCATGCCAGCCCCCCTTTCTGTGGAGAAGAAACCACTCGGAGGGGCTACAAGTTCGATGTTGGTGATTCAGAAATAGCCGTTGGTTTCAAATCTTTCTATAGTAGGTTACCGTCGGAATCCGTGGAAGGTGAGCTGGCAAATCATCGGCAGCAGCTGTATGTGTGCGTACCACAAGTAGTACTGTAGTGGTTGGGATGGGAGGAAGCAGACGCGCGCACCCTCAAAACTTCCCGACCCGAAAGACGAGGAGAGGAGGAATTCTTTGGTTCTCCTGCCGGTTCTGCTGCTGCTCGTCGTCAGCCTTCTTCCACCCACTATAAACGCCGCACGAGTGTCGCCGTTTACTTGCGGGTGTGTTGATTTTTTCCATGCTTATAAGATATCACCTCTCCCGTCCCCCGTCTTCCCCACCAACCCCCTCCATCTCTTCTTGACTTCTACCGCATTCCTCCCTCTTTCTCTTCTGCTGTTTTCGTGAATGTTCGCAGCAAGATCTATTGGCCCGAGGTGGTGGGGATGGAGGGAACCAAGGCCCGCGAGCACATTCTTGCCTTCCGGCCGCAATGCCACTGGGACGTGCAACTCATCCCTGCGTGGCACAGACCACCTGCGAATGTCGCCCCAAGCGTGTTCGCATTTTTCTCAACGGGCATGGGCGTGTCCGGATGGTGCCAGTAACATGCATTCTGCCTCCACAATAATAACTAACTGAATCTGTACTGTACTGGGAAGTGCCTGACTCACAGTACAAGGCACAAGTTAGAAGTGTAACACCTTTGGTTCAGGGGTGTAAGCCACAATAAGGTTGAGAAATAGCTTCTGGCCACTTTCATAGGCAGCCCAACCATTGGCTACATTTGCAGGGGGTGTCATTGTATACTTTCGGTTGGTGTTTTCCATGATTGTGATACGGAATAAAGTAACAAGCACCCTGACGCAGTGAGTGGCGCGTTGGCAACTTAGCGGGGGGCCGCATGTGAAGGACGGCTGCTTGCAGTTGCCGTGTTACTGCCACCCGCCGTGCACGTGCAGTGTGTCCTGTGTGTGGTGGAGGGGTGGGGGGGGGAGGTGCAGACAGGAGGGTGAGGGGTGGGGGGGGGGGTGGGGTTAGGAGTTGGAGTGGGTGGGGATGCGACAGGATTGATCCAAAGAGTGTGTCATGTTCTGGCGGAGAGAGATGGGTGGAAAAGAGGATGCGAGTGGACCTGCTGTGGTGGAGAGAGACGTGTGCACTCAGCGTGCTGTGCTGTGCTGTGCAGGCTGATCGGAGGCAGCACTTGCCCATCCTTCCCCCCATTAAAACCTACCACACCCCACTGCAACCTACCGCACCCCACTGCAACCTACCGCACCCCACTGCAACCTACCGCACCCCACTGCACCCCCACCTGCCATGTGTGAAAATGGCAGTTGTAGGAAGCAGCACTGTCCCCCGTATGATGAAACGCCACAGCCTGCTGGCCCTCCCTCCCGGCCCCGTTCTCAAGGCCCTCTGCCATCGCTGCTAATGGGCAGGGAAGAGTGGGGCAGGGGGGGAGGAGTGGGGGAGGGAGAGGAGAGTGGAAGAGAGAGAGGTAAGTGATGCATGGAGTAGCAAAAGGAGCCACGGCGAGATGCACAAACCAAGGCAGGACGCGAGAGAGGTGGGGGAAACAGTATGCATGGCAGTCAGGGAAGACAGAGAAAGACAGAGAGAGGCAGAGAGAGGCAGAGAGAGGCAGAGTGACAGAGAGAGGCAGAGTGACAGAGAGAGGTAAAGTGACGGTGAGAGGCAGAGAGAGGCAGAGAGAGACAGAGAGAGAACGAGAGGGACAGAGAGAGGCAAAGAGAGACAGAGTGACAGAGAGAGGCAGAGAGAGGCAGAGAGAGGCAGAGAGAGAACGAGAGGGACAGAGAGAGGCAAAGAGAGGGGTCGAAGTGGGGGTGGGGGGCAAGGGGAAAGGGTGGAAGCGGGGGGCAAATGGGCAGGGTGGAAGTGGGGGGCAAGGGGGGAGGGTGGAAGTGGGGGGCAAGGGGGGAGGGTGGAAGTGGGGGGCAAGGGGGGAGGGTGAGGGGTGGAAGGTTGGAGGAGTGGGAACGCGATAGGATTGATTTACAGAGTGTGTCATGTTCTGGCGAAGAGTGGAAAAAGAGGACGCAAGTGGACCTGCTGAGGTGGAGAGAGACGGGTGCACTCAGCTTGCTGTGCTGCGCAGGCTGATCGCAGGCTGCACTTGCCCTTCCTTCCCACCCCATTAAAACCTACCACACCCCACTGCGACCTACCGCACCCCACCGCATCCCCACCTGCCGTCTGAAGAAAGTGGCACTTGTAGAAGACAGCGCCGTCCCTCGTCTGCTGGCCTTCCCTCCCTGCCTGCCTACTCCCTCCTGCCGCGCTCCGAAAGCCCACGCGCATCGCTGCAACGCCAGACGCGTCTACCGCTGAGGGGGAAGCGGAGGGAGAAAAGAGGGGAGTGAGAGGAGAGGTGGAGTGAGGGGAGCGGGAGAAGTAGAGGAGAGGGGGGGGGTGAGAGAGAGGGGGAGTGAGAGGAGAGGGGAGGAGAGGAGAGGGTGTGGAGGAGGAGGGGCGGATGGAGAGGAGAGGAGAGTGGTGGGGAGAGGAGGGGGGGAGAAAGGGAAGGGGGGAGAGGAGCGGCGGAGGGAGAGGAGAGAGGAGGTGGAGCGGGGGAGAGGAAAGGCGAAAAACTCATCAGTGCAGCACTCTACCTACCCCATCCTTTCACATCTCAACGCGATGACAACCCCTTGCCATTTTCTCCATCCGCTCAAGTTCTGTCCCTCACCCCCCCTCTCTTCCCCTCCCCTTTTTGTCCTCTTGCTATTCCCACACCTCTCCCATCCCCATCCATCCCTCACGCACCTGCACAGTGTGGAAGTCCCTTGAACCGTCCTGAGCCGTCCTGACCGTCCTGAGCCGTTCGGAGGCACAGTACCGTGGCCGTGATGCGCGGGGCACCGCTGCCTGCAGAAGGGACGCAGGGGCACGGGTTGCTGATGTGACGCGACAGGAGCGGCACCATCTGCTGCTCGCCAGTGAAGCATCAGCGAGCAGAGGAGTCTCGTGGGGTGGTGCAGTGAAGAGAGGCGCCTCATCAGTCTGCAGTCGCTAACCCTGCTGCCTCCTTCCTGCCACCCGCTCGCTCTGGCATGATCAGTCCAGTCTCAAGCAAACGAATCAAAAAATTGTGCTGCGATAGATACACAACCGCTGGGCGGGCAGCATGGTCGTGCCACACAACGCAACCTTGAACTCGAGCATCGGTGGAGCATCGGCCTCTCGGCTGTGATGGGCGCGGGCGGCGGGCTGTCGGAAACGCGCACGCGGAAGGTAGCGGCGCAAATGCTGCGCGGGGAATGGATGGGGACCGATCAAGCGGCGACAGCGGGCAGGCAGAGGAGCCGCAGCGGCGAGCGACTCCCCTCAGAGGCGGCCGTGATGACGATGATGGCAGCCCGCCGCGAGAAGGTGGCGGCGAGCGCGGCAACGGCGACGATACGGGCGAGAGTCGCCGCCGTCGCCGCCGCGACTGCGATGATCGCACCTGCGACAGTCGCTGTTGGTTGAGCGCGCGCGCGGCACTGCAGCGGCTCGGGAGCGGGCCTGACGCCCGCATGCTGCCGCGGCGGCCGGGCTGCTGCAGAAACCTTTCCGCTGAATGCTTGTGGCGATGGCGCCGGCAGACGCCCCGGAGGCGTCACGAGACGAGCTGACAGTTTCTAGCGGCAGCAGAAAGGGTTCCTCTTTCCTTGGCGATCGCGAGCTCGTCACGCGAGGCGACACTGAAGCGCGCAAACTCTGCGAATAGTAGGCGTTGAACGGGCCGACCGGATCGACAACCGGATCGCATTTCCGCCGTTGCACCTACGCGGAGCATCACGACGGCCCGCAATGGGCGTCGCTCGTAACGGCGCGCAACGGCGTCGCTCGTAACGGCGCGCACCGGCGTCGCTCGCACGGCCATGGCGCGGTCCGTCAGCCTCAGGCTTGACGATCGCGCCTCGTTGAGAAACCTTGTGGATCGAAAAGGTTGGTCGGCCCGTGTTGTTCAGCCGAGCTGGGTTTGTGTGGGGGATAGACCAGACATGGCAGTGGCTGGTATATCATGGATGGTGGACGTGAAAGCTGGGGAGGGAGTTAGGTCGGGGAGTGGTGGGGTCGGGTGCAGTGCGGTTCAGGTGGAGGAATAAAGCGAAAGAGAGGATGGTTGGTTACCCAGGCGAGAGAGGAAAACGCTGACAACATGTG